TCTGCATGTCTTAACCACAGTTGATTTCCTACACTCACTTGATACCGTAATGGACCAAGATTTTCGCGCCGCACCTTTAGGCTGTAACGATCAAGAGGAAATAGTCATTAAGAAACTGTAGGTAGCGGTAGCTCTTACTACGAAGAAATGGGAATTCCGAATTAAGTAATGCGCATGCGCAGTTACCAAATAACATCCGTGAATTATTTATTAAAAAAAAAAAACAGTGAGCATGCGCTTGGAAGTAACTTTAAGTGACGTTATCAAGCCATGTCGAGCATGCGCAGTTACCAAAAAGATATCTCAGTAACCAAATGGTGGCTGCGAAGAGGATGATTACCAAGAAATCGTCCTAGGAACCAGCGGCTGCGAAGAGGGTATGAATATAATAAGAACTCGAGTGGGTCGAAAGCCCGTATTTTGGCTATCTTTACAGCCAGTTCATCAGTGTTCGTCAGGGGGAATTGTAATTAAATTTTCTCAAAAAAGGTATATTAGGCTCTATTGTCTACCTATGTACGCAGACCTATGCATTGACAATTTCATAAAAAAATAACCACAGAAACTGATGACACAACCAAGGACCTAGGACCACTAATACTACTACTACTACTACTACTCGCCAAGTAGTAGAGCCAGGGTATTCCACATTTAATGTAAAAAAAAATGTGCCTTACGCTGAAGAGGGTTAGGATTAGGCTAACCTTTATCGACATATCGTACGGTACTCGGGTTTTATCGACCCATATAAAATAGTCACACACTGGCGACATGTAGAAGTGCATATGTTTATCTAGCCAATCACAAATGGTGTCAATAGCTGAAGCCTTAATTTGCATACATCACCCTATATAACAGTTTAAGATCGGCATGTACGGTATTTGGGTTTATTTGATTAGAGCCTTCGCGGGTAGTGAACATAGAGGAATAACAATAAGGAAAGACTAAGATATGTACACAGATATATACTAGTTGTTACCCAGACAGCAGCATGCTGACTGGGTTCTGTTTCCGAGCAGCAGCAGCTTCTTTCTTTCTTTCTTTCTGGCAACAAAAATCGTATAAAATACTACTTACCTCACAAATAACGTAGCACAGTCTTGTCCTTTGCACATATAAGCATAAGGCAGGGTCTATAGGGTGTTCAGGGATAAGGGGTCAAAATTCATTAAGGGGTAATTTTTATCTTTTTTCTGGAAACATTTCAAAACGCTACTAGTGTCAAACCTGGTCAGTATAATCGGTGACACCTCTCATACATGGGGTGTTCACTGCACTGCTTCTAAACAAGAAACAATACTCTTAACTTAATAGGTCAAAGTTCATAGGTCAAAGGTTTAAAATGTTCCTAATGGCAAACGATTGAACGGAATTCAATCAAATTAGATCATTAAGAACCAGTGACACCTCCTACACCCCTGTCTGGCATCAGTGGTTACATAGGGGTCATCAGGGTCAAATTTTCAAAATAGACCAATTGAGTTCGAATTTACCAGGAATGATCCTTAGGACCTTTTAAACATGAAAAACTACTCTTGGCTTATAGGTCAAAAGTCACAAGGGTCATTTTGGTGAAAATTATCAAATATTGCTAGTGACGAACGATTCGACCGATTGCATTAGACAGACTCCTACCAAACATGGGGTGTTCACAGCTTGAGCTCAAACGTCACAGCGGTCATTTTAGTGTCAAATCCTGAAAAATGGCTGGGTTCATGTTTTATTGAACTGGTCAAAGTTCATATGTCAAAGGTCAGTCTTTTCCATATTTTGTAATGTTCAAATTCATTATGAATGATACTTAGGACCAGCATTCTAATTATGTTTTAATATGGTCTTAATGTCAATTTAGTTCAAAAGTCACAGGGGTTTCAAAAAATCATATTTGCAATATTAAAAATAGTACTAGTAGGCCTATAGTTAAAACCTAAACCTATATATCTTTGTCTATGCGTACATACTCTGTACTATGCTAAAGGTAAATTTGATCTGTCGGCCGGGTCAATGTAATAAGAGTTTCAGTTTAATCAAAGCACAAATATAATCTGTCACCAAAATATAGCCATTCCGATTGATGCTGTAAATCACAGATGTTTTTTTGCAGGGAAAATTTCAACTAGTGAATGTCCCACAGACACTTAGTGTCCAGTTTCATTGTACAACAATCCATTCTCACATGCTACTAATGTTTTTAACTGATGGTCATATTTTTAATTATATAAGAACACAACATCATCAGATTTAGGATTTTACAACATCTTGTAATTACTTTAATTTATATATTTAATATGTATGGGCTAGGCTTTAGCCTCATAAATCATTTTGGCCCTTGGGTACATAATTGCGAAATCTTCCTCTTCTCAGTGCCAAGTTATGTTAAATGATGGTAGTAGACATGTACATAAAACCTCAACCTATATTCTTAGTCTAAACATATACAGTACTGTACTATGCTAGGCTAGGTAAATTTGATCTGTCGGCAGGGTCAATGTAGTAGTAGTAAAGTTCAATTAAAGCACAAATATAATCGTCACCAAAATAAAGCGATTCCGATTGATGCTGTAAACACAGCCGTTTTTGCACGGAAAATGTCAACTGGTGAATGTCCCATAAGAGACATGTATAGTGTCCTAAAATTGTACAACATTCCATTATAGGCTATAACTGGTTTTAACTTATGGTCATAATATTAATTAAATAGGAACACGAAAACATCACATTTAGGATTTTACAACATCTTGTAAGTACTTTAACTTTACTTTTGTAGACCACTACCTTTATAATAAGTTTTTAAAGGTTATATAACTAGGCAAATTTATTGTTAAAATGTATGGGCTGGGCTTTTATAGCCCCATGAATCACTTTGGCCCTTTATATCCTTGGGTACTCTTCACCTATAGGTCAAAAGTCACAAGGGTCACTATAGTGAAAATTATCAAATATTGCTAGTGACTAACGATTGAACCAATTGCATTAGACAGACTCCTACCAAACATAGGGTGTACACAGGTTGAGGTTTAAGGTCACATTGGTTATCTCTTAAAAAAACAACTGGGTTCATGTTCTATTGAAAATAGTATCTCTAGTTATTTTTTTCTTTCTGGCAACATTTTAAAAAGCTACTAGAGGCAAACTACAGGACCGATTTAATTAAAACTTGATCAGTAGGACCGGTGCCACCTCCCATTCATTTGTTGTTCACATAAGGGGAATTAGGGTCAACAAACCAAAAATCGTATAAAAGACTACTTGTCTCACAAATAACGTAGCACAGTCTTGTCCTTTGCACATATACATTGGCATAAGGCAGACTCTATAGGGTGTTCAGGGATAAAAGGTCAAAGTTCATTAAGGGGTAATTTTATCTTTTTTCTGGCAACATTTCAAAACGCTACTAGTGCCAAACGGTTGTGCCGATTTCAACCAAACCTGGTCAGTATAATCGGTTACACCTCTTATACATAGGATGTTCCCTGCTTGGGGTCAAAGGTTACATAGGGGTCATTAAGGTAAAAACTTTCAAAAAAATGAATAAAAGACTTCTTCCGTCATAAATAACATAGCACAGTCTTGTACTGGGCAAATATGTATTGCCATAAGGTAGGGTCTTTATGGTTTTCATCGATTTATGGTCGAAGGTCATTAAAGTAGTAGCATTTCAAAATGCTACTAATGGCAAACCATTGCACTAAATTCAATCAAACTTCGTCATTAGGAACCGGCGACACCTTCTACACCCCAGTCTGTGATCAAAGGGTCACATAGGTGTCATCGGGGTTAAATTTTAAAATAGCCCAATTCAGCCTAAATTTACCAGGAATGATCCTTAAGACCTTCTAAACAAGAAAAAAATATTCTTTACCCCATAGGTCAAAGTTCATAGGTCAAAGGTTTAAAATGTTCCTAATGGCAAACGATTGAACGGAATTCAATCAAATTTGATCATTAAGATCAAGTAACACCTCTTACACCCCAGTCTTGGATCAGGGGTTACGTATGTGTCATCGGGGTCAAATTTTCAAAAATAGCCCAAATGAGCGTGAATTTACCAGGAATGATCCTTAGGACATTCTAAACATGAAAAACTACTATTCACCTATAGGTAAAAAATCACAAGGTTCACTATAGTGAAAATTATCAAATATTGCTAGTGATTAACTATTGGACCAATTGCATTAGACAGACTCCTACCAAACATGGGGTGTTCACAGGTTGAGGTTAAAGGTATGGTGTTGAGTGCTTGTAAAGTAGCAATAAAGACATATAATACAACAGTATAACTCATAGAACAGAATTTAATTCTTTCCTCGTGGTTCTCTCTCTCTCTCTCTCTCTCTCTCTCTCTCTCTGTGTGGCAACTCCTGCCCTCAACGTCGGTATTGTCACACAGGACAACAGTAAGAACACCACATTTCCCCTCTCTAAAAGCAGAAACTATAATCACAGTAAAAATGACTGTATACCATATACAGTACAATGTAAACTCAGTTACTATAACAATAAACACTTCTATTTCTTACTGGTAGCCATAACATAGTCACGAGTCCATCTAGGTTGATTTCTAACTCTCTTAATCCTTGAGAAATGTGAACCTAACTGAGTTGAATTGTTGTTCATTGAATCATCAGCAGTTGGAAAAACTATAAAGTCACTACTGTGATCATCACGACTATCTCCCCCTCGGCCTAATAAAGATGGCTTTCCTAGAAATGGGGCTATGTGTTTCACATTCCATTTTTGACCATTGGCCATTACGTAAGCGTTTAGACCAATATGTTGTCTAATTTCCACCGGTTCAGTAAATTTACTCCTACCCTTGTGGACATTCCAGGGCTTTTTAATTCTAACAATATCTCCCGGGAAAAAAACTCTGGTTTTGACGCACTTCCGTTTGTCGTACGCCTCTTTAGACTTTGCTTACTTTGCTTTTTTTCTATTGTCTATTTCGACTGAAGACATTTGCTTAGGCGATGTTGTCACTCCAATGATATCTAACAAAGTCAACATATGACGCCCGTGTAGTACCACAGATGGGGATTCCCAGAAGTGGCATGTCGCGTAGCGCGATAAGTACCTAGAAATTCCGTCACAGCATTTTTAACTGGACGTTTATCGATTCGTGCCGTTTGAATAGTTTCATTCAAAATCCGGTTAAAGCGCTTGACAGTACTGTTGGCTTCTGGGTGATACACCGCAGAAAATCTGTGTTTGATGTTACGTTTTTTCAAGAAAGTTTCGAACTCCTGGCTAGTTAACTGCGTACCATTATCAGAAACTAGTTCTTCAGGATAACCTTCACGACTGAATACCTTAGTCAAAAAATAAATTACAGTTTTGGCCGTAATATTTGGACAAAACGCAACTTCTGGCCATTTACTTCGGTAATCAATTAATGGATAAGGTAACGCTCGTTCGCAGGTGCAGAATAATTCGGACCTACGAAATCAATCCCGAGCTTTTGCCATGGACGTTCTGGCAATTGTACCGGCTGCATATGAGCCACTCGTGATTTCGCAGACTTGTCAGCAATTTGGCAAGTTAAACAATTAGTAATTGTGTCCGTTACGTGTACGTCCATTTTAGGCCACCAGTAAAGATCTCTTAATCTTTGTTTGGTTCGCACAATACCTTGATGATTTTCATGGGCCAGATTAACTAATTTGGAGGTAAGTGCTGCTGGTATTATCACGCGTTGACCACGAAAAATAATATCATTATGAATCGAGAACTCATCTTTAATACGGGAATAGGGCTTAATGATTTCTGGAATATGCTTTTTACCATTCGGCCACCCATTATGTATGTATTCTTTAAGCTGCATGCATACTTCATCATTATTTGTAGCCTGTTCTAATTCAATGCGTGTGAAAGCGCTATAAGTATCGTTTAGAACAACTTGACAGACTGCATCACTGTCATCTTCATTTAGTGCTTCGCGTTCTCCGACTGAGTAATTTCGTTCGGGTGCAGTTAATGTTCTAGACGCGCAAGCAACTGTGACTTCCGAGCCGTCACTCTTTACCTGTGTAAGTACCGCTCCTAACCCATAACCACTCGCATCAGTTGTGACAAAAACTTTGAGATCATGGTCGAATAGAGCAAGACCAGGGCTATTAATAATATCGGATTTAATAACCTGAAAAGCGGAATTCGCTTTGTCTGTCCATATAAATAGTTAAATGGATTGTACCTCTCGCAATGCGCTTACTTTTGCCGAAAAATTTGGCACAAACCTAGCATAAAAACCTGCGAGTCCTAGAAATGACTTAAGTTGGAGATTATTCTGGGGTATTGCAGCTTTAGCAATTCCATGGACTAATTCGTCACTAGGGTGAACACCTTTGTCATCGATAACATGACCTAATACTTTCATTGAAGGTACACCGAACTCACATTTGTCATTTAGTGTCATACCTCGTTCTTTCAAACAGGTAAGCACTGAAAATAATGTTTTATCATGCGCGGCTTTGTCGCGTCCGTAAATAATATCATCGATAAAACATTGTACGTTTGGAATTCCTGCTAATACAATCGACATCATTTTTTCGAAATATGAAGGGGCTGAAGATAAGCCAAAACAAACTGTACGAAATCGGAAGACACCATCATGCGTAATAAATGATGTAAGGTCGTGACTGTCGGAATCTAATTCCAGTTGGTAATAAGCTGATTTAAGATCGAGCTTAGAAAAAGTATGTCGCGCCATTCATCTCGCTTAACATTTCTTCAATTGAAGGAAGAGGAAATTTGTCCTCAATAACAGCTTCATTTGGGTTTTCTTAAATCAACACATATGCGGATTTTACCAGTCTTTTTCCATGCAACTACAATTGGTGAAACCCACTCCGGCGCTTCAGCGCGTTCAATAATCCCTGCGTCTAGAAGACGTTGTAATTCAGCGCACACGGCTTGACGCACAGTCAATGGCAGTCTACGCAGCTTTTGTTGGACTGGATTAACCTCAGGGCGAACTTTAACTTTATGTTTGAACCCCTTAACCTTACCCAAGGTATCTGACAACAAACATGAAAATTGTGATTTAACATCAGTACATGTAGACTCAGCATGTGTCTCAAAACATGTCAACGTACTACCATCAATGTTAATTCCAAGTGCTTGGATTAGATCCTTGCCTATTAGGCTGCTTCCTTTAGTTACTAAATAAAATGTTGCATTTGCACATTTAGATTTAAACTGAACTTTAGCTTTAAAACATCCTACAGTTGTTATCTTATGAGATGTATAGCTAGTTATAGGCATTATACATGGTTCCAATGCATCTCTAACAAAATTTTTATCAAATAATTTAAGTGAAAGTAAGGATACATCAGATGCAGTATCAACAAGCATTTGAATATTTAAGAATTCACTTTAAGAGTTCCCCATACATATTTCCTTGAATCAGTGTTGCTTGACCGTGTACACAATACTTGTCATGTTGCAATCTAGATCAGTCTCACCTCTAGCGTGTTCAACCTGCTTAACAACTTTCCTTTTACCACGGCAAACACTAGACAGATGTCGCTTTTTTCCACAAGAGTTGTAGTCCTTTGACCCTGCAGTACACTCTGGCGAATTTGCTAAATGTTGAGGTGAACCACAGCGATAACACATGAGAGATATAGATTTTGTCAGCGTGCATAGCTCCCGCACGAATCAGTCGACAATTACATTGCAGCGCTCCGCGAACTGGCTTCACGGTGCGAATTTGGTACGTTTGAGGACGAAATGCTACGAGATCAACTTGTAGAGAAGACTAATAGTTCCAAAATACGAACTAGATTACTTACAGAAACCGATGTAAAGCTGGACAAGGCCATAAAACTAGCAAGGCAGTGTGAAATTGCGATGAAAGAGGCCAAGTCTATGGGCGGAGGTGATACTCATACATGCTCTGAGGTGAAATACAAAGCTAAGCCTAGAAGTGCTAAAGCTGAATGTAAGAAGGGTAAACAGAGGCCCTGGCCAAATAGCAATGCCAGCCACCACACTAACCTTTGCTACAAAATGACTCTGCAATGTTGTCATTGCCTTTGTAAAAATATCGTCACCTGCTTCTCGTAGTTCTGGTAAAGTGTAAAAAAATTCGTTGTCCTTCCGGACCTAGCGAGAGTAAACGTATAGCTCTTCTACGCTCCGGCGATTCCTTCACTGTATTCGAAGCGAGTAGGTAATCGCCTCCACTCTGCAACCTCGGTATGACAGGGTCTCCCGGCGTAGGCAGAAACTGCACGGGTTCCTTGATTTGCGTGCTTGTCATTGTAATGACTTGTAGTAAAATTTAGAACTTGTAAATGTAGGAATAATAGCAAACGCAATCAATAATTTTCCTCGTCGCCAAATATTATGGTGGTGAGTTCTCGTAAACTAGCAATAAAGACAATATAATACAACAGTATAACTCATAGAACATAATTTAATTCTTTCCTCGTGGTTCTCTCTCACTCTCTCTGTGGCAACTCCTGCCTCAACGTCGGTATTGTCACACAGGACAACAGTAAGAACACCACAAAAGGTCACAGTGGTAATCTCTTAAAAAATGACTGGGTTCATATTCTATTGAACATAGTATCTCTTGTTCTTTCTTTCTTTCTGGCAACATTTTAACCCATACGCTGCCACCTCTTTTCTTATTCAGTCAACCAGAGCGCCTGCTGATAAAATTACCTCTAATCCCCTGTACCAGCTAATTATATCTCGGTATCTTTATTCATAAATTCAAAACAAAACAACTACAATATCAAATCCTTAGCAGCCAGAGGCTGAATTGGGGATTAAATTTACAAAATAGAAAACCTGAATTAAATTTACAATAAGTCATTATTATTATTAAGATCAATTATTTAACAAGGTCACCGTAATGCTTATTTTTGATAGTGTATATTATTTGCTCAATAATTCAAAAACTATTCAGATAATGAAAATATAAATCTAAAAAACAATTAATCAACATTAGTTGGTTTGCACATATATGCTCTTTTTTATGAAACTATTTATGTAATGCATGGATACTGCCGTGATTTGGAAAAAGGCATTAACTCCAAAATCCTAGTTATGAGTTATTGAGCAAAACGCGTTTGTCGTTAGCCTTTTGTACTGGAAATGAATTCTAGTAATTTTTTTTGGCAAATATACTAAACATATAACTAAAAAACATATTAAATAATTTTCATGGTGATTTTTGTTCTTTAACCCTATTTAAATGGAGATAATGCACTATTCCAAATTTTAACAGGAGTCAATGGTGCATGAAAAATCTGAAGTAGGCCATTAACTCCAGTTTTTCCAGTGAAATGTGTATCTTACGTAGCCAAATTACAGTATTTCTCACAAACAAATAATGTATGCCAGTGTAAATTATATATTTCACGAAATTTAGTCCATGTAAGTTAAAATTAATATTATAGTATAAATTTATAATCAATTTAGGAGTCGTCATTGTATTTGTACACGTATAAAAATAGATAAAATTATTATTATTGTTCAAATTAAGCTGCTATCATTTTTATATTCAATCAGAATACAATGATATTGATATATGATGGTTATATTATGAGGAATAGTATTAATATACTTAGTAGAACCTCTAATTTACGTATACTAAATTTACAGACTTCTATTTTACAGACGCGAAGTTACATATTTCGAATCTTCATATTATATTTACGAATCATGTAAAAAGTGCCCAAATACAAATATTATACTTTTTAAGCTATTAATCGAAATTAAAGACACTATTCGGTGAGGTAAATGGTTCTATAAAATGGTGTGGTAGATAAATAGAATCTAAATGAATCAAAGTTAGACGAGTTTTAGGTTTTCTCTTTTATTTGTCAACATCATTTTACCAGCATTGAAGATAATGAAATATTATTTTCTTGATTTTTTTGTGATTTTATTACTTTAACAGCATTGAAGATAATAAAATATTCTTTTCTTTATTTTTATTGTGATTTTATAACTTTTATCAGCGTTCAGTATAGGTGTAATGATATTTTCTGTATTTTATTGCGATTATTGGTCTGATTTTTCACTCATTTATCTATCAAATCAGCAACATCGCCAACAGGCATGTTCCTCCAAAAGGCTTTTCTATTCTCGCTCATTAGTGGTAGAAGATTTTTTAATGTCATTTTTTTAAAACCGAAGTAAAGCTAGGCATCATGTGCATTTACAAGCTATCATGACTAATTAACTATGCGTAATTGTCTTCTGTGATTGGTTCATTATTATCTGTTCATTGTTTGGTGGAGATAATGCCTTCTTCCAAATTATTCTGCATTCATGGATTGGAGTTATTGCGTAAATATAATATTTATTTCATATTTCTGTACAATTTTTGTGGTATATGATCAATTCACATGATAGATTACATCTATAGGATGCCATAGAAACAAAAATTCAAAAATCTCAAAAAGTGGAGTTAATGCCTTTATGCATGGAGGGAGCACTTAAAATGTACAATAATCATTTCACTACCCGACAAACCCCGACCTTTAAGCTAAATGTACGCCGCGGTGCTCATTTTCACAAAGGAATACACACAACTGGTTAGCTAACAATATGAAAATGTCACATGACCACCTGGGAAGAAAGGTGCAAACACGTTCTGTTGCCTAGCAAACGTCTGTACTGTAGCGATAGAAAGTACACTTTCAACAGAAATAAATTAAAATAAGGAAAAAATATAACTAAGAATACTTCAGTTGCAGACGTACCTTGTTTAAGTATTACACAAGGCTAACAATGCGGCTCTTGTAGCCCTAGCTAGGCAAAGTATCCATGTGTAAAGCAGTGGTGTTTGTTAATCAATGAAAAAAACCACTCTGGGAAAGTTTACCTTACCAGGAAAAGGTGACGTAATCTAGCTTATGACGTATGCATGCTAACTATAATATTGTGAGTGTGACGTCACAAAAAATAAAAATTTTCTATTATTTTCTATTAATAACTAAATGGTTTGTGGGCGTAAATTCCCTTAATACGAGTTAAGGGTAGCAGAATCTCTTCGCCATACAAGTTACAGCTCCCACTGACGTCCCAGTCGAGAAATACGAGTAGTTGAAATTTTTTTCGCAAATCTGACTACGAAACCATATCGAAATGACATTCCAGTTAGGATTTCTAAGTCTACTTTCAGTGTCGGAAAAGGTCAAACTGTCATCATTCACCATTTTTATCGTGCTGAATACTATTTTTGTATAGCCTGTGTGACTGCTCATTTGTGGATTTTATATATTAATTGTTTATTAACTTTTCTTTAATTAATACTAATTTGGTTGATGCCATTAATTTACAAATATATGTTTAATTTTAGTTACCAACGACCAGAGGGAAGAATGTTGAACAGACTAGACAATACTCAAATAAATAAAAATTTAAATATGATATTACAAATTATGGATTTGATTTTGATTTTGATCTATTAAAAATGGCCCTCAAAATGCTAATTTGTCAGAGCTTCCAGAAGATTCGCCCCACCTTCGCGGGTATCCCCAGGCAGTCGCCCATCGTAAGGTCCACTTGCATAATAATAATAACAAGGACAACAACAACAACAAAGACAACAGCAGCAAATAACAACAATAATGATAATAATAACAATAATAAAATGATGGTTCATTCGGTAGTTTGTGTTCTGATCTTGTAAAGAAACAGGCTTTGGTGTTATAATAAAATTGTGTAATTATTTACAGCCTGCATAATTGTGTAAGTGTAAAATAAATCAGTTAGTTTCAAAGAGATGTGAAAAGTAACAATGGATGGCAGTTAGTAAGGTAACTTAACTGTTCGTTGATCTGAGATGACGAAGATCTGCATCAGTTCTGATGGTACCTTTCTTTTTGTTTTTCAGGAGGCAAGTTATCCTATCGTCCTGGGTCCATGTCGTTTCGACCGCATCATTGTTTGTTGATTGATGAAGGCAGTTCAATCGTTGTGCTGTAAGGTTTGCAGTAATTGAACAGCCAGATTTTTTTAGGTGCCTTTTATCGCGAAATAAATATGACCGGGTGCAATATGAGACAAATTTGATAATGATGGGCCTTGGGTAAGATTTAGTTGATTCGTTTGCAGAAGATTTCTTTCTGCCCAGCCGATGTGTACGATCGAAATTGCAAAGCTCAATATCGTCAAAGATCATGGATGAAATAATGTCTAGTGATAATGAGTCTGTTTTCATTATTAGTCTCTGGTACACCATGTAGGAGGAGGCAGTTTAGTCTGCTATATTGTTCCATTTCATCCACTTTCTCCTCCATGGCACGGTTTTCGTCTACTAGATTATTGTTCTATTTCCGTAAATCGGCAACGACGCCCTCAGTTGCTTTATTGTCAAGGGCAACGCTGTTAACAACAATGTCACTAACCTCATCAACAATTATTTTGCTAATCTCAGATATCAACGCTTTGTTGTTATATATAGCTACGATTATGTTCTCGAAAAGCTCAGGCGAGGAAAGGATATAGTTACTAATGCCTGTTGCCACGATCTTGATCAATTGTGGATCATCGGCCAGAAGGTGTCGAAGGGGGCCTAGCAGTCACCGCGGTGACGGCGATGTCGGTGTCTGTTGTTGGTGTCACTATTTCCGGGCCACTCGTAGCTAAATTAG